AACCGAGTGTTGATGGATGTTTCTTCTTCTGCTTTTCTTTGGCATTTGGTGTTTTAGACCACACAATACTTCATATTGTTATGTAATCACTCTTCCCATATCTCTTGAAACAATTATCTGAGTATTTCCTTTGTGAATGTTTATAATGTTTTCTTTACTTTTTAATAATGGTTTTTAAATTTTTTAATGCTTATTTTTGAGAGACAGAGAGAGAGAGACAAGAGTGTGAGCAGGGGAGGGGCAGAGAGAGAGGGAGACCCGGAATCCGAAGCAAGTTCCAGTCTGTGTGAGCTGTCAGCACAGAGCCTGACGTGGGGCTTGAACTCATGAACTGCAAAAGCGTGACCTGAGCGGAAGTTGGAGGCTTAACTAACTGAGCCACCCAGGCTCCCCTTTAATAATGTTTTAAGTAGAAAAATTTCTGAAGACTGGTATTATTGAAATGTATTTCTATAACCACGTATTTAAAAGGACGTTTGTTTGGGTTTATCATTTTATGTCTGCAATTCTTTTCCTTAAAAACTAAAACCGTACTCCTCCTTGTTTACTTGCATCCACTCTCACTGTTTTGGGCGGTGCCCTGATCCTTGTTCCTTTGTAGGCAATCTGCTGTAACTCACTGTAAGCTTTGTCATTTCTCTAGGTCTTTGATGTTTTTAAATTTCACAGTAGCATGTACAGGTATAGGGGTTTTGTTTGTTTGTTCTTTTAACGTATCCTCTTTGGCCTAAAGGGAGATCTGGTGAGCAAACTCTAGTACACACAGCCTTGGCTTTCCTAAAGGACTCACTCTGCTTACCAGGTGTCCCCATTAATCTGTGGGTTTCCATTATGTCCGGGATCTCCAACAAGAAGTCCTTTCTTAGGCAAGTGAGATGTGAGATTCAGTATAAAGTCACCAGTTAGAAACACCTAATGCTGTGAAGATTTGTGCTGCTCAGAATACTTCTAACTGAACACTTTTTCTGCAGAGATGGTCTTTTGGCAATTTTTTAATTCCATGCTTAAAACCTTGTGTTAGAGTGACATCACGTGGTAGTGTGAGGTTATGCAGGCAAGGTTTGTTAGCAAGATTATCTGTTCAATAAATAAGGTCGACTCCTCAGTGACTGGGAATACTTCTTCTAAGTTATTTCATACAAAACACCACATTCTTTTATTTTCTCACTGTACAATAGAATTGAATCAGATGGTAATTCTCAGCATTTTAAAATACATGTTGTTGAAATAAGTATTCGGAGTAACAATTCCCCCCCGCCCCTTTTTTTTCAAAGTTTTTATTTAATTCCGGTAAGTTAACATATAGTGTCAGATTAGCTTCAGTTGTACAATTTAGTGACTCAGCATTTCCATACAACACCCGGTGCTCATCACAGCAAGTGCACTCCGGAATCCCCATCACCTGTTTCACCCATCCCCCCACGCACCTCCCCTCAGATTACCACCAGTTTGTTCTCTATAGTTAAGAGTCTGTTTCTTGGTTCACCTCTCCCTCTCCCTCTCTCCCTTTCCCTCTCTCCCTCTCTCTCTCTCCCTCTCTCTCTCTCACTCTCTCCCTCTCTCCTCTCTCCCTCTGTATCCGCCCCCCCTTCACCTTTGCTCATTTGTTTTGCTTCTTAAATTGCACATATGAGTGAAAGGCTGCCCTAGCAAAAACAAAACTTCCTAGTGGATGTTATTTTTGAGAATTTTAAGCTTAAGCTTATTTAAAATTTAAATCCTAATCTTATAGTTTCCCACATTTTAAAAGAACTGTGAATTTTTATTTAATCATCAAAAACAGTGATGATAAACTAAAATATTGAGCCAAGTAATAGCATCTGTAAAACAATAGGATCTCTCTTCGACCTAGAATGAATTAACTGGGCTAACATTAACTAACTATGAGCTAACATAAGACCTGTATGATTTAAATTGTGTATGTTTTTAGCATTGTGATCAAAACCATTATTAATGTATGTTTTACCAGGCATGTCACTTAGCTTTGTGTCCTAAGGCTAGGAGTTCAGTCTTACAGAAACTTTTCTTGATGGCATGTTGCTAGTTATATGTGCACTGTTTCCTTCTTATACTTTTATTTTGATTTAAATTTTATCTAATTGTTTATAGAATATCGAAGACCGAACTTATACAAAACATCAAGTGTTTTAGGTTTGGTTCCTAGCAGAGCCTGAGGTGGGATTCTGTTTTGGTGATTTAGTGAGGGAGGGTTGTCCAGAGAGTGCACTGGGGGACTCGGAACAGGAGAAGGGAATCCAGATCAGCACGAATGTGGTCTTAGCTGGAGACTTGGTTCAGACTGATCCCAGAGGAAAGCTCTGGAGCAATGCCGTCCAGAAGAAATATAGTAAATATGTTGCATGCCACATATTTAATTTTAAACTGTCTAGTAGCCACATTTAAAAAGGTAAAAAGAAACAGATGGTTTACAACATTTTGTTTAAACCAGTACATCCAAAGTATTGTCATTTCAGCATATCAATATTAAACACTGATGAGATATCTTACATTCATTTTTCATACTAACTTGTCGAAATCCACTGTATATCTCATTTCATCCATTCAGTAACTGCTAGTCGCACTGTGTATTCAACAGCCAGTTCTAGAGCGTCAGTTGCACAAAAGTTGACCCTATCTTGTGCCAAAGGAGTAAAATTTTATATTCCCATTTCAGTCAGTTATTGGCTCTAACATGCCCTTAGAGAGTTTGCAAGAGTAGCCCGGAAGGTGCAGTGGCTCCCATTTGGCTGGGGGTAATTCTCAAGAGAAGGTATCATCTGTGAGTTTTGCTATCTGGGGGTGGCTGCACCTGCCATAAAGAGGACCTAGGCATCCAACAAAGTATTCACCATAGTCCCTAGCACTGCTCACATACACTTGCTTCTCACGTCAAGTTCTTTCAGTGCAGGCTATGACTCTCTAGGATTCTAGTTGTTTCCATTTTCTGGGATAACTGCAAGAGGAGAGTAGAGGGGCCAGTGACAGCCTCTGCTGCAGAGTTGGCCCCAGTATTATAGCTTATACTCCAGGGGGTCAAGCCAGCTTTCGCAAACATTCATGGATGACCCAGTGAGATGCACCTTTCTTGAGTAGGCATGATTGAACCAGGGATTACATTTCTTCTTCACAAGAGACCCTAATGTCACTAAATAGAATCCACCTGCAACGCAATCCAGGAAATAGCAGAAATATGGGGCTCTAAGGGGAAGTAGGAATGAAGAGGTTTCGAATATGGTGAACTGAAGAGAATTGCACGACAAACAAGAGTGGGAACAGGATTGCCAGGGTTGAAATGTCTCAACTTTTCAGGAAGGCAGGTATGTTCTATTTATGGCCATCCTGAAGAAAGAGAAAGAACCCCTATCCAGGATTTAGTCAACATGTTAAGAGTGATGACACCATATACATGCAGAACAGATGGGAAAAGTTTACCACTCCCATAACAAGGAGGCTCTGTAGTAGTTCCAAAAATGGCTTGAGAGAGCAGGGGAAGGAGACTGGCCAATGAGGGTAAGGCAAAGCAGCGGTTCCTACAGGTAGTTTGAAGGTCCCATTGGTGTCAAAGAATGGAGCATCTGGGCCTTCTTACCTGCTTTTCCAGGTATTGGGTAGGAGGTAAAGGGGGGAGGGGAGATATTTAAAATGGCCAGCAATGAGAGCTCAAAGCTGGAGTCAGGCTATGTATTTGTTTGCTAGAACCTGCTACAACAAATGACCATAAACAAAGGGCTTAAAATGAAAGGAATGTATTGTCTCACAGTTCAGAGACTGGAAATCTAATATTAAGATGTCTGCAGGGTTCGTTACTTCAGGAAGCTTTGAGGGAAAATCAGTTTCATGCTTCTTTCCTAGCTTCTGGTGATGGCTGGCAGTTCTTGGCACACTCCCCAGCTGATGGATGCCTCACTCCAATCTCTGCCTCTGCCCTCACAGGGTGTCCTGCCTGCACGTCTGTCTCCTCTTGTAAGGACACCAGTCCTGTTGGATCAAAGATCCATCCTACTCTAGTATAACCTCCTCTTAACTTGAATTGCAATTACTTTTGCAAAGACTCTATTTCCTAGTAAGGTCACATTCATGGATATCAGGGATTAGAATTTAAGCTTGTTTTTTTGGACATACAATTTAACCCCCAACAGACCACTAAATTCCATATGCCACTCTTTGACAGAAGAGATTTGTGCCTGGGTATCAGGTAAACATAACAGCAGAATTAACTTCTTGATGGCTAATTTCTCCTTACTGTTAAGTTTAAGCTAATTGGTCATGGCCCACTGTCACAGATTGATGGGTGTTCTGGGAGGGCTGAAAGCAATAATATTCTCCATCTACTTTTCTTCCCTGAAAGCCATTGAGTTTCTCCTGAGATCTTTGGCATCACTAAGTATTGGTAATATGACCAAAATGTTGCCTACTCAACTGCTTTAGGGGCTGCAGATTACTTTGCTTTCTAAATTTGCTGGGTGTTGGGACAGTGTAGTGATGATCTTTGGACTCTTTAGAAAAAGAAACTGTAGGATTAAGGATACTTACAACTGGTCTGTAATAGCTCCATCTTTATTTCTAGAGATGCCTGGATGTCTGGCTTTGACTCTTGGCCAAGAGAAGGGTCGTAAAATTGATAATGTGTGCTGTTCAAATTCTGACCCTTAGGGCCAGTTTGTTTGCTTCTGATTTCCAACTAGCACAATGGTTTAGACAACCCGGTCTGACTATGTGATCAGAGGTACCTTAAAAATCTCCCTCGGAACTTCTGCTTTGAGCTGCCCAGAAGCCTACAGTCAAACACACACCTTGGTGGTTCAGTCCAGAGATCGTGTCAGTTTGCCAACAAGTACCCTGGGGAGTTAGCGCCTAGATGTCTTTCAAAGCCTCCTTGCTTTCCTGTACTCCATTGTCTTTCTCTTAACGAATCATATCCTTGTAAATAAGCGCCTTGTGTAAGCGAGCAGTGTGGAGTCATGTCTTTTCAGGTATCTGGTCTTTCGAAATCTTTGCAGAGGCTGATCGAAGACTTGAGATTGGCACAGCTTTTGAGGCCTGAAGGCGCTTTAGTGCTTTCAGGAAGCGATTCTGCAGCCTGCTTCTGCTGGAAGAACCTCAGATCTTCCCAGTGAGTAAACATCTTGTTTTAGCTGAGACTGAGCAGAAAAAAAAAAAAAAAAAAAAAAAACCTGGGGGGAAACAAAATTAATTTCTTTGAACTTCTGTAAGTACGAGACATTTTTATGGAGTTTTAATTGTTTTGGATTTGAAGTGTTTGACCTTGAAAACTTTTAGCATTTGCATTTAGTTCATCCTGGAAATCTTATTAATAAGAAACCGTCTTCAATATGTGGAGCAATTCGTTATTGTAGGGCTTTTATTATGAGAGTACCTTTATGAAAATTATTATTGGAATATCTTGTTGATGTCATTTAGTCTCCTTGAAGGTCTTCTGATATGCTCTGTTGAATTGCTTACTGAACACAATCTGCATAGGAAATAGAATGGAAAAGTAATGTTCAGTCTTGGTGGAACACTCATCTTGGAGTTAGTATCTTCTTGTGCCTGATTTCAGATCATTATAAAACAAATTCAACACTAATATCTATTGGACTGTGAAGGTTTTGTAACACACCTGAAAATGGGCATTCCTCTCATGAGAGTTGGGTTTTATGTTCGCTCCTCTTAAATTTGGACCTTTTTTAGTGATTTTGTGTGAAGAGTAGAATGCATCAGAAGTCAAGTCCCTAAATCTTGGGTCTGGGTCAGAAAAAGCTACGGAGCTTCCATCTGGTTCTCTCAGGACACTTGTTTTGGAGCCTTGAGCAACTATGTAAGAAGTCCACCCACACTGAGATGTCCAAGATATGAAGAAGCCCAGAGCATGTGGATTGGTCATGTATAATGCTCCAGCCAAGGGCACCAGCTGAGGTCTTGTGCAATAGCTTCAACCTAGTATCAGTTATTGGACATGTTTGTGAAGACTCCTCCTCCAGATGATTGTCCACCTGTCCACCCCCAGCCATCACATTGAAGGCCAAGAGAAACTGGAGCAGAGACAGGACACTCGCACCGCATCATTCTATAAATACTGAACAATTGTTGGTGTGTACTGTGTTTCAAAGGATTAGCAACTATAAGCAGCAAGTCAACTCAGAAGTCTTAATGACGGAGCAGCAGCTGGCATTAGGTATACAACCTAAGGGCACCTAGGGGCTCAGTCCGTTGAGCGTCTGACTTCAGCTCAGGTCACTATCTCACAGTCTGAGTTTGAGCCCCACGTCGGGCTCTGTGCTGACAGCTTCAAGCCTGGAGCCTGCTTCGGATTCTTTGACCCCCTCTCTCTTGGCCTGCTCTCCCCTGCTCTCACTCTGTCTCTCTCTCTCTCAAAAATAAGCAAACATTAAAAAAAATGATGTACAACCTATTGAAAACTGAAGCAGGAAACTCTGATTGACATTTGGTTTCCTTCCTCGAGAAGAACAGTCAAAACCTGATTGACCATGGGGTTGGCCCTGTGGGTTAAGGGCATGAAAATCTGAGCAAAGTTGGGGACAGACCTATCCTTCCCCACTTCTGAGTCAGGAGGAGAGGTACCATCACCATTCTCGGATCTTCTATCTTTTCAGTGACTCCCTCAGAGGTGGGGAAGTAGTGATGTTCTTGTTGGAGATTTGAGAAGAAATGGGATATTTGTTGCAGCTCATATCCTCTGCTTTCCTCTTTGGAAGCCAGCCTGACCAGAGGCAGCACACATTTCCTGCTCCTTTGGCCATGGCCTACGCTTACGGGGTCAGGAGAGCACGTAGTGTTCTGGCTTTTTCTGCGACTAGGACTAAGTCTCCAGGTCACGGAGCTTATCCCCTACTGCCCCCACTTCTGTGTGCTATCTCCCACACACAGAAGATGATGTTTTGTCCTCCAAAGGTCTTATTCCTGACTTAATTTTTATTTTGTTCAGAACTCAGGTAGGGGTGAGGAGTGGCACGTATTGGGCTTCCTTAAGATGCTAAGACAATTCCTCTGTGTATATCATACACTCAGTCATATTATTTATGCTGTCATGTGAGCTACTAACACAGGAAAGAGTAAACCTTTGATGTTTTTACTAACTTAGAGAAAATTAATATATATGTATTATATATATTTTTATGTATATCATATATAAATCATATCACATATAAATATATCATATATATCATATATAAATATATATCATAAATATATATATTTATGATGTGACATCTTGTCCTAATCCTTAGAAATGGAGTCCAGATGCTTGGAAACCAGTCTGTCAATATATTACTACCATACTAAGAGCTTCTTCAAAATAACTGAACTTTGTGTAATTTCTGGACCCATAGAGTTACCTTACTTTAACTATTTGTGAATATAATTCACCACTTGAAGAAGTGATGAGACATTTAGAAATTACTAAAGAGATACTTTAAGTGTTTTCCTCTGAGAATCTTATTCTATCATAAAGAAGTTTCAAAGGGCTATTGGATGATTTGTTTTGTTTTGTTTTTTCAGAAAACAATCTTATACAATGTGATATGCTTCTTTTCTAATCCAAACCATCCTGGGATTGCACAGAGGAATGACAAAGTCCCTGGTCATAAAATTGCTGAGGAACACTGATGCCTTTGGAACTAGCAATCACCCAATCTTCTTGTTCTTAAGAAAAATACAATCTTGAAACATTTACTTCTGTAGGCAGAAATTTCTTTCTGAAATTCTTTTTCTGAGTTTTTGGTTTTATACTCCAGTCTTGTGAATATTAGCCCTTAAATTAGCTGCTTATTTTTTCTCTTCAGTCCCGTAAAATCTACCATTACAATGGTAATGTAAATACCATTACAAGGTTTTCAATTTTTTTAAAAAGTCAATTATTGTTATGTTTGGTTCTGCCCTAAAGGTTAACCTTAAATAACTTATATCAGCTTTACTGAGGAATAACTGATATACTGAAAAGAAATGAACATATTTAATATGTACAATTTAATGAGTTTGGACATAGACAAATGCCCATGATATGAGCACCATGATCAAAGGAAGAGATATATATGCATATCTCTCAGTTTCCCCTGCTCCACCATGTTTTGTTGTTGTTTTTAGTGTTAAGGACACTTCACATGAGATCTGCCCTCTTATGAATTTTGGAGGGCACAATAGTACACTGTCAACTATAGGCACTATGTTGTACAGCAGATCTTTAGAGCTTATTCATCTTGCATAACTGAAACTATATCCATTGAACAGTTCCCCACTTCTCCCAGCCCCCGTCCCCTGGAAACTGCCATTCTATTCTTTGCTCCTATGAGTTTGACTATTTTAGATGCCTCCTCGAAGTGGGATCATGCAGTATTTGTCCTTCTGTGACTGGTTTATGTCATTTAGCATAATGTCCTCCAGATCCATCCTTGTTGACTGAACATTTTACTTAAATTTTATGTACTTCAGTCTGAAAATTGTCCTTGAATTGTCTTGTCTTTCATAAGCTGCGCTAGCCTTCCCCCCCCCCCCCCAAAGCACAAGCAATTCTGAAGTGCCACATTATTGATACCAGTCAAGGGCCAGCAGTCTTCAAAGGGGGTAATTTGAGCGGTTTAAAGAGAAATTGCAAAGGTTTTGTCAAGGTATAATGGACCCAACAAGAGATAATGTATGATTCAGGAACAAACCAATCACAGTGGAGTGGCATTCCCACTCACAGTTAGACGGAGGAAAGGGAGGGGTTACACAGGACCCAAAGGAAAGTAGCTTAGTGGAGGAGACTTCATGAAAGGAACTGTGGTCATCGGTGGAAGGTCACATAGCCAACACGTGCTGACTCCGCCGCCAGGGGAAACTGGGGACATCAGTGGTTTCTGGCTTCCCAGCTTCGACTCATGCTTCTTATTGAATGAACCCAACAGGAAGCCAGAGAGCAAGTGAGTTTGATGTAGACCATGAATGTCAGTTTCCTGAGACACAGAGCAGGTACAATGGAGACAGGGGAAGCGAGAGGGGGAAATGTCTAGCACAATTATCAAAGATCCCAGGAGAAATATTCACTTTTCAACTTGCCAGATTTTCATTTTATTCGGTCTTTTACTCAGCAAATAACTACTGAGTGCCTAATGATGAGATAGGGGCTGTGAATCAGGAGGAAAAAGACAGTGTATGTGTTCAGGGATTCTATGGTTTAGTGAGGGAGTTAGGATACAAAAAGGAAAATTACAATACAGGGAAATACACCTTAAAAAATAAACCTTTTTGTAAAAGCAGGTCCACCTCTACTGAGGTGCTCAGCACTGCTTTGGAGGAGTAGATGGAACATGAGGACAGGTTTTCTGGAGGATATGCCTGTGATGGAACCGGGAGGAACCGGGACTTATCTGTGTGAAGGGTGTGGAGAATCATACTCCAGGCGGTTGAGAAACATGCAGTTGCTCAGAAACCTTAAGTAGCGTGGAGCTTTACAGGAATATTTTGGCAGAGACAGCTCTCTATTTCTTTACTAACAATTTTTGTCGCTGTCATGGTGCACCGTGTGCTGGAAACGCATGCATACGCACGTACACGCACATGCCTCCCAGGTTTACTTTCAGCTAAGTGGGTCCTTGATATCAGCCGAGACGGTTACAAGAGGTAGGCTCTGAAAGATTAATGAGATAAGTCATGCATTCAACAGTAACCAGAAATAGCAGATTTAATCACGGGAGAACTCTAGGTGTTGGAACTCTCAAATACAGAATATGAGAAATATAAGTACAAAATGTTTAAAGTAAGAAAGGATACATTTGAAGCCATGGTTATACAGTGAGGGATTTGAACAGAAAAGGTTGAAAACGAACATTCAAATGGAACTTCTATAATTGAAATTTAAATAGCCATTCATATAAAAACTCCATGAACAGGTTGAATAGCAGATTAGACGCATTTGGAAAAATGATCTGTGAACTCAGGGCTCAGAACCATGTACACGTAATGGTAAGAAGATAAACCTGAGAGAGAGGCAAAGAGATAGGAAACATGTAGTAGTGACTAATTGGAGTGCTAGAGGAATGGAGAAGAGAGAATTGCTAAAGAATTGCAGAATATTTACAGAAAAATTAAAAAGAGAAATCCATAGTCCAAGGAGCAGAATATAATTTTTTATTGTGGGAAAATACATATATAATTAAATTCACTTTCACTGTTTTAAAGTGTACAATTCAAGTGGCATTGGATACATTTACCATGTTGTATTAGAGTAGTAAAACATCCTAGTAAGGCTCTGAAAATGTCATTTTAAAGTTTGTATAAGATTTACAAGGAGGGGTGCCTGGGTAGCTCACTCGATTAAGTGTCTGACTCTGGACGTCGGCTCAGGTCGTGATCTCACGGTTTCGGAGTTTGAGCCCTGCGTCAGACTCTACGCTGACAGTGCAGAGCCTGCTTGGGATTCTCTCTCTCCATCTCTCTCTGCCCCTCCCCTGCTCTCCCTCTCTCTGCCTCTCTCCAAAGAAATAAATAAACTTAAAAGATTTAGAAAGAATAATGTGATAGTAATATAGTTATATAATGTAAATAGTTGTTTACAGTCATTTAAAATTTTAAACAAAGAGCAAAATTAATGTTACATGTATTCAGGTTTATTCTCACAAAACACAATATTCTAACAAAGAGAAATTAATTACCATAAAAAAGATGCACAAGCATCTTTAAAATCATTATTCTAGTATATTGAATTGAGAATTCCATTTGAGATTCAAGTTATAATTATTATACTTGTCTATAATTTTAAGAATAAATAAAAATTAAAATGGTACTTACTTACCTAATCACTTATTTTGGGAGACTGACATTTTTATGACTCTTTTTGTGGTTTGCCAATCATCAATATGCAATTTAGACTATCAGGCTAATTTATTACAGCTGGTAACCACAATTGAGCGTGTTACAAATCCGTACTGTATTGGGCTTCTACAGTGATTTATATCTGAGGAGGAAGACTTTTTTTTTAAGGTTCATTTATTTATTCTGAAGAAGAGAGTGTGCGCATGCACAGGGGAGGGGCAGTGAGAAGGAGAGAGAGAATCCCAAGCAGTCAGTGCAAAGCCCTATGCGGGGCTCGAACCCACGAACTGAGAGGTCATAATCTGAGCCTAAACTAAAGTCAGACACTTACCTGACCAAGCCACCCAGGCGCCCTGAGAAGAAAGACTTTAAAGATTGAAATTGTTGATTTTCCATTGCATGATGGGGTAAGGGCCCCGTTTCCTGCTTAAAGGACTATTCTTAAACCAGCAAAGATGGATTTTATTATCACAGGGACAAGAGTTGCTCCCCTGATGGGAGCTTTCTCCAGGGGCTATTCAGCTACAAAGTTCACTTTTGGTCTCACCAAGCTAATGCTCTCTTTCTGGAAAAGGAGGAGCAGCTAGTGACTATCACTTAAGAAAACCTTCCTATACCTGAGCATTTACAATCATGGCATTATTCTCTGTCTCTTACCCAGAGTCATGAAACTGAATGTCTTATTGGTCTCCTGTTCTCTTTTGTTACTGATTACCTTCCTTTGGACACTGCCAACTTTTATAACTTATTTGACAGGTGGCTACTAAATGAAAATATGAATGAAAGAACTTGGCTAAAATAGCAAAAACAAAAGTTCAATGAGGGGAGGTTTGGTGCTTTTATTAAATGCAAGGTAAATATGCTTAAATGATTTATTTTTCCTGCTTTAAAATGTCATGTTGTCTGTACTCTCAGAGTCCGTGAATATAATTGTATATATTAACATTCATTTCTGGCTTAATGTAATTAATATTCATTATATTAATAATATGCAATGAACATATGAGACACAGTGTTATTATTCCCGGGTAGCTTTCAAGCTTAAGGGGGAAATGTGCCTAAAGAATTCATTAGAATCACCATAACATGCAATAGAGGTGATTAGAGAGGCATAATTTTAATTGGGATAAAGAGAAATTAGGTAAAATTTAAAGATGGACTTGATAAGTATGTTTTTCATACACACAGAGGGGATGAAAGGTATAGTCGAGTGGGGGGAGAAGAACCAAGGGCAAAGGTGTGCAAAGTTTGATGTGTGTTAATATCAAATAGAGAATAACGTACACTAGGCAAACTGTAAGTTAGAAATGAGGATGAGTCAAGGGTAAGTTCACTCTTACCTCAGTAAGTTCACTGAGGAAAGAATATGTGTTCCCATTGGGAAATTAAGTAATGAAGTGTCTTTAGAGCATAAGGAATTGGAAGAGGGTGGTGAGAGCTGTCACTAAAACCAACATTACATGAGATGTTGCGGATGTTGGACTTGACTTGATAAATAATTGAGAACCATTGAAGGTTTTTAAGCAAGAGAATAACCGGTAAGGCTTACATTATCACTAGATTGCTGTGGAGCAGTATGTACATGAATTTATTGGGGTTAGTACCAGAGTGAGTTCACTACCCGATATGGGAAAAAATGAAGTTGAGTTCTTCCCTCACATCTTAAAAAAATTCCAGGTAGATTACAGGTATTCATAAAGAAACCAAACTTCAAACAAACAGACAAAACCAACCAACCAAACAAAAATAAACTAAAACTAAGATTCTTTTAGTAGATGTTGTATCTGTACAGAAGGGTAGGATTTCTTAAACAAGACATAAAAATCTCCAATCAAAAAGAAAATATTGATAAATGTATTCCACATTTTCAATAATTAAAAAGTTGACAGCACCCTGTACTAGTCAACTCAGTAGTGACTTAAGCATTTTGTTTTCACAGTTCTAGAGGGTGGGAAGTACAACATAAAGGTGCAGGCTGATTCAGTTCCCCAATGAGGGCTCTCTTTCTGGCTTGCAGATGGCCACCTTCTCCCCATCTTCTTACAGTTCAGAGAGAGAGCAAGGAAGTTCCTGGTGTCTTTCTTCTAAGGGCACAAATTCCATCATAAGGGTCCCACCTAATGATTTCATCTAAATCTAATGACTTCCCAAAGGCTCCATTTCCAAATGTTATTATACTCAGGGTTAGGGCTTCCATATATGGTTTTTGGGGGAATGCAATTGAGTCCATAGCACATCCTGTTTTCTATTTTTTGCCTCTCACTCTCTCTGTCCGTACACTTGCTCCTGGAATCATTCCCCAATAACCTAACTGCCCCCAAACTTTTGTCTCAGACTCTGTTTTTAACAGGAACCCAGACTAAGGAGTTGGCATTGGAAATCAGACTGAGGATGGGATTGAGGATCTCACTGGCCAATAGGCAAGAAGACTGTGGTGAGTGGTAAGTGAAACCTGTGAGTCAATGAGAGGCAAGTTCTGTTCTGGGAACTGACAGGAGTTATGGCTACGGTGCTGCAGGGCTGAGACCAAGAACTGAGGCTGGAGAAATAGAATGGGGTTAGATTATGCTGGTCCTTGCAGGACATCTGGAACAGTTTGGTCTTTCTCCTAAAGCAAACGGGAAAGCAGTGACATATTTTAAGCTGTGGAAACAATATGGTCATATTCGCATTGAACATATCAGCATGATGGACACACTAGAAAGTGGGGGGTAGATGGTTATGAATAGGTGTCGGACAATGAGTGTAGAGGCTATTGCACTAGTACAGGTGAGAGCGGGTGAGAGTTTGGACTAGGAGATTGAAAGCAAAGTCCATAGGAACCTTTCCTGGAATTTTAAACAGAACATTTCTGCATTTAATGGAGGATTTGACCAGTTGACTATAGTGGCATCTCTGAATACTCCTTTGAATGACTGTCTGATAATTTCACCAAAAGAAAAAAAAAAAGTCTTGTTAAAACTCATGATTTCCTCAATTTTCTTTACTTTTCAATCTATTCGGTACAATACAAGGAAAACAATTCGCATATTTTCCCATTCCAAACAGTAGCTGTATGTTTAACAGGCAACTCAATGGCATCAACACTAAACCAGCTGGGGGTCCGCCAATGTAGGCCAGTCTAGGCTAGGCTGTTCTGTGGTCTCTGCTTCAATATGCGGGTCTAGCTGGGCTCAGACTGCCTCCGGGGCGGGGCTCAGGTACGATCCAGGAGGAATTCTGAGGTGTAAGCTCCAGCTGTAGCAGCTATCTAGGGAAAGCCCTTTCCATGGCAATGCCAGAAGCTCGAGGGAAATACCTCATGCATCTGAGACTTAAAACTGGCAAAGCAAGTTGCTTGGTGAAGACCAGTCCAAGGAGATTGGGGGAAATGTATTCCACCTCTACGAAGCCAGCACAGGGTTGGGGAAGCATACTCCTACTTCAGAAGAGGGGAGAATTGTGGCCAATAATTCAACCTGTTGTAAAAACTAAACTAGATCATAGTCTCCCCAACCAAACCTGGAAGCTTTTTGACAATTCCTTTCACCCCAGTCCTTCCCCAACTACTGAGTCAGAAGTAGTTCCTTTGTGTCTACATTGCTCTTAAAGGGACGGTTGATATATATATATATATAAATATATATATATATATATATATATATATGTTTTTTTGTTGTTGTTTTTTGTTTTGTTTTGTTTTGTTTTTTACAAGGAAGCCTATGTCATTTTGTAAGGCTTTTCTCAAGTGCAAAATTGTAGTGACATTTGGGAAACCAAATAAATTTTGATTCATAAGGCCCAGGCTTTGTAGAAAGCAGAAAGGATTTTCTGTAATTTTTAAAATTTCAGTTTTAAAAATTATGAGCCAAGCCCAGAGTATTGAACGTAGTTTTATACTACCAAAGGAAAAATATTTGATATTATAAAATACTTATTGCTTTACCATGAATGAAAGAAAAAGTTGAGTCAGTAGGTTAGAAGGGATGGTTCTGAAGGGACCTAACCGGTATCAGTGCTGGTAGGTTAAGAAAGTTAAGTGCGGAAGTGATAGATTTGGAGGATTCATAGGTCGGATTTAATGCCTGACCTTTCAGATTTGTGCCAAGAGGAAAAACATAAAATCTGTTTAAATTATCAATGGCTAAGGGATGGTGTTTTGTCAAATGGGCCTGAAGTTAGCCTTGTAGAATTTGACCACTCTGGGGTGGAGTGGTCAAAGTAGACAAGAGTGCCCAAGCATTCTAAAGGGGAGAAGTCTTTAGAAGACACCTTGAGTCAGAATGAGAAAAGGTAGAATGTATGACAAGTGAGGATGGGACTAATGATACCTGTAGCAGGTCCCACTTCTAAATGCCTAAAATCATCCAGGATGTGGAATGTCAGGGTACAAGATAGTGATGACTAGAGAGGGCTCAAGGGTGAGGTGTTCACCTTCCCATTCAGATGAATGCAAGTCACATGCCCCTGATGACTGGCTCTTTACCTCTGAACCCTGGGAGATAACTCCTATTTAAAAAAAGGAAAGGAGGGGCGCCTGGGTGGCACAGTCGGTTAAGCGTCCGACTTCAGCCAGGTCATGATCTCGCGGTCCGGGAGTTCGAGCCCCGCGTCGGGCTCTGGGCTGATGGCTCAGAGCCTGAAGCCTGTTTCCGATTCTGTGTCTCCCTCTCTCTCTGCCCCTCCCCCGTTCATGCTCTGTCTCTCTCTGTCCCAAAAATAAATAAACGTTGAAAAAAAAATTTTTTTTAAATAAAAAAATAAAAGAAGGAAAGGAGAAGGAGGTTTGAAGAAATATTGAATACATTTTTTAATGGTTGTGTCACATGGGGCAAGCTTGAAAAACAGGGGTGATGGGAGTGCTTTCTCTGCAGAATGACAAGGTGTTATCAGGGGAGCTCTGCAGACAGGTGGCTGTGAACACATCTACCAACAGAATACATTTACAGCCTGAAAGTGACTGTTACCTTAAATTGCGAAAAATCAGAGCCTTCTGCCCTCAGTGAAAATAAGGGTCAAAATTGAGGTCACCTAGAAGTTGAACTGATTCATCAAAACGATGGAAATTTGCATTTTTGCACGTATGAGTTATTAGTCTGAAACATAAACACACACATATCATTTTGAAATAAGAACTCTCAAGATGCTTCATTCTTAAATGTCTGGTTAGAGTCTCTTAAGGTAAATTGGTCTCTTCTGTTTTGTAATGTTGTAGAATTGTTGTTTCACCTGCAGTTGTTTTGATATTTATTGTTCGAGTTCTACATATATGAAAGGTTAGAGATTAAGTAAAAAAAACACAATCCAATGTAATGAGCAGAATAAAATTCTTCTCCGCTGATTTTGGCCAAAGATCCAAGAGTTCTTGACTGCAAATTTGAACGCACCGGCCTATCAAAGTCACAGACCACCAGAGCCTCGTACACAATCTAGTACCATTCAACAGAATGAAGACTTGTTCACTCAAATGGATTTATTTTACTATTTTTGGTTGCCAGCAAAAGGTGAAATGGAAAGTTTGAAATATGCCTGAAAATCTGGTCAGCATCAGCAGCCAAACCAGATAATTAGGACAAAGCCATACTCAGCACCATATTCTTAGAATTTGTAGAGTACAAATTATCTGCAGCTGTGAATAACTTCTAATATTTAAGCAATGGGTAAAAATTTTACTTTTTGACCCGAACTGTCTGGCTTGGCTCTCTCCATAGGCATTATGGCCAACTTTCCATTTTGCTTTGTACTTTACAGGCGTGGGCAAAATCTGGACAGTTAAGAAGCTGAGTAATTTTTTCTTAATTTGGTAAAATAAAGCAAAACTACTTAGCAGGTCATTTATTATTCATTGCTATATACTATCTCTTGATAAATGGTTTAAATAATCAAAGTATTAATTTTATGTTTATTTATAAATTGAGATTTAGAAATAATTTGTCTAGTCCAAGGAAAGAAGGAATGTTAACACTGGAGTATAGCCAGATTTTTCTTGGTCATTATAAACAAACTAATTAAAAGAATAGGTTTAATATTTTTGGGGGGAGAACTAGCTGGTACACATTCCTGGAGAGTTCGATAGTTTTACAGAAAAATTTGTGAAGAAAGGAATACAAAGGAGATGCAAAATACATTAACATTTTTTCAATAGAGAAAGAGACCGAACTGGTATGAGTCTGGAAAAGGGAGTTAAAGCTTTTTGGTAAGTGGGAAAGGGCAATTGGACATTACAGAATTCTGATTCCTGGGATATGGACCATGAAAGGTGGAATCTAAAAGAAAAATTGCAAAGTGAAGGAAAGGACTGAATGAATATCAGCACGTGCTCAAAGAATATGTCATTAGCTATAAGAGCTTCTTCCAAAGTAATATATTTTTGTTTTTGGAAGTAATCTCTTCATAACTAGAAAAAAGAAAAGCCAAAACAAATGAATCAGATTGAGTTTCTCCCTTAAAATTTTGAACCTGGTCCTTGCTTTCAGTGTTAGAGGATATGTACAGCTGTAAATAATTTACACTCCAAAAGTTACAAGAATGAGACTGAGTGAAATACGAGTAATTCTGGAGAGGAGCCAGAGAGAAAAGGAAGGTTAATTCGATACGTCCTGCAGTATCCAAGAAGTTAGTTTACTTAATATGTGGTGAAGAGCAGATAAAATTTATCCAAAATAAGTTTTTAAAGTTAATCTACTGTATTCTAATTTTGTCCATAATACTTTCATATAAATATATCTACCGAACCTGTAGAAAGTTAAGTGACTAAAAAGCTTTGCTATATAGCATCCTAATATAAATTTATCTTAATATTGGATTCATATATAAGTATGATTTTTCAGCAGCTCTGCTTAAAAGAATCTTATTTCTTAAACTTGAATACGATTTTCACTAATAAAACTATATTTTCTAGTATATAAAAATGCAAAGCATATTATTTATTGGCTATGATAAAGGGTGAAGATTTCAAAATATGTAAAAACTTTTTTTTTTCACTTTAAAGATAGTTGTCAGAAATATAAGCATGTTTGATGTCGACTGGTATTAAGATATTTGAGTGGAAAACTAAGATGGCATGACTGATTTTCACATTAGCACATGGTTAGTTTTGACTAAAGATTATCTTCTCCAAACATCCATTCCTTTCTTTGAACAATAAAAACAATAATAATACCACAATTATTCTAGGGAATACTATATCTACCAATTTAGGCATGAATTTTGCTTGTGATTGAAATTTTGCTTGTGTTTAAGGGAAAAACCATGTTTGCAAAAATGAGCACCTTCTTTAAATGGTACTGACTATTCGTTAAAGGACCAAGTAGAGTTGGCCATTAATATTAGTTTGAAAATCTGATAAAAAAAGGGAACATTGAAACACAATACAATTTAAAATTAAGCAAGTATTCACTAACATCTTCCAGTAGGCAACATCGAAGTAATTATTTTTATTAATGCTTAAATTGTTCCATTTTTTAATTCTAGTTCCTTTGAGTAGAAAATTGATGCCATTATTCCTAGGCTCTTTCATTTAACAAAGTTAAGATGAATGTATATATTTATTGTGGTGACTGGCTCTTGATTTTGGCTCAGGTCATTATCTCAGACACCTGCTGTGCTGACCTAGAGCCCGCTTAGGATTCTCTCTCTCTCTCTCTCTCTCTCTCTCTCTCTCTCTCTCAAAATACATAAGTAAATATGTGTATGTATTTATGAATAAAACCATAAATAAATACACATAAACCATATATATAGTTTTATAAAATACATAGTTTTATATATATTCCTTTTTTTTTTGTTTTCATTTTTTTTTAACATTTACTGATTTCTGAGAGACAGAGTGCAAGCTGGGGAGGAGCGGAGAAAGAGACACACACAGAATCCGAAGCAGCTCCAGGCTCTGAGCTGTCAGCACAGAGACTGACGCGGGGCTCAAACTCATGAACCGTGAGATCATGACCTGAGCCGAAGTCGGAAGGCGAACAGACTTTTTATATGACTTTTATATGACTATATATTTAATTGTAGTCAAGACACTCAACTGACTGAGCCACTTGGGGGTCCCTATCCTTTTTTTTTTAATACTATATTGTAGATATCACTTTATGGTCATGTATAGAAACATCTTCATTCTTTTTTATAACTGGACAGCATTTTATTGTGTTAATATGCTACTACTTGTTTGTATAAAATACAGAACGAATTCTCACTGATACTCTCATTAACAATGAGACTGAGGATTTCTACTAAACCTCTTCTATATCCAATCTGTGTCTCTTTTCACCCATGTTGCAAATCCTGTTTCTTGAAGATCTGAGAAATGTAACATTAGCATATCACAAATCACGTAATTTCTCATTTGCTTTATCTGCAATATGCACACAACAGTCTGAGAATAACAATACCAATACTTCCACCAAGAAGATGATTACTGAAAATAATTTAAATTTGTTTGCAGGGTTTTTTGGTCAAATTATCACAATTCAGATAACTTGAAATTATCAATCACTGTGTGGATGTACTAACTGGATATACAGGTAAGTGTGGCTTACCTGGATATACAAGTGTGGCTACTATCTGTCACCGTACAATCTTGTAATACCATTGATAATATTCTCTATGGTGTACCTTTTATGCTTTTGTGTTTTTGTGAGTGTGTTTGTAATTTTTTTAAAATATTCATTTATTTATTGGGAGAGCGCAAACAGGGGAGAAGAGGAGAGGGGGGGGGACAGAGGATCTGAGGTGGCCTCTACACTGACAGGCTGACAGCACAGAGCCCAATGTGGGGTCAAACTCATGAACTGCGAGATCATGACCCGAGTCGAAGTCGAACACTCAACTGACTGAGCCACTTGGGGGCCCCTATCCCCCCCTTTTTTTGATAGTATATTCCAGACATCATTTTATAGTCATGTATAGAAACATCTTCATTCTCTTTTATAACTGGACATTATTTGTTGTGTTAATATGGTACTAGTTATTCATCCATTCTAATATTGACAAATATTTGTGCTATGTCCAATCTATGTTTTTTAGCTATTCTTGGAATTTATAGTATTGTTTAGATGTCCTTTTCTATATTCACCAGCTTGTCCTTGGTATATATTTCTACAGGGGGTATTGCTGTTGCATGAAAAGCTGAAAGGTATATTTAATTGTGCTAAATAGTGCTGATATTTTTATGATTTTTGAACATTTTTGTATTTTTCTTTAGAATTAGATCTAGATATGATCCATACATTGCATTTGGTCGAAATGAATTTAAGTGTCTTAATCTATAAATCCCTGTTCTTTCATCCTTGAAATTTATTTATTGATGTAACCACATGTAGAATTTCATTTTCCTCTCTGCATTTCTTATAAACTAAATGCTGTATTTAGAGGTTTGATTTGGTTTTGGCAATAAGTGTCCAAAACTTCCATACAGGAAGTGTTGGGTAGTTCTATCAGGACACATACAATAAATGGATGCCCTCCTTATGTGATGTTGTGATGTTGGTAGCTATTGATGACTATTTCCTGGATTCATTATTAATTAGTGATATGGAGACTTATGATACTCTAATTCAATTGTAATATATCTAATTATTCTTTCCCCCATCCTTTCTGTGTTCTTTTTCTGGAATTATGATTAGACGACATTTTTTATATCTCCATATAATCCTGAATATTCCATAACCTCTCTCTCACATTCTCCAAATCTTTTATTTCTGGAGTGCATTCTAGATTTTTCTTTTGTTTCTATTTTCAAGTTCACTAATTATCACTTCAGCTTGGTCTAACTGCTGGTTAACCACCTCAGCTTGGTCATCTGCTGGTTAGCCACTTCCAGGGAATTTTAAAATCTTTAATCACTTAGTTTTTATATTTAGAATATCTATTTGTTTATTTAAGAACTACTTGGGCAACTTTCATAATCTCTTGATTTTGCTTATACTTTTAAGACATTGGCACTCATTGAACTTACTTGTTTTTGGTCTGTCTCAATTCTAATACATGAAGTCTTTCTAGTTTTTATTGTGCTTTCTTTTTTCTTCCTGGTTTCATTTATTATGTCATGTGTACTCATATATTGTGCTGTGTGCATGTGTGTGTATGTGTGTATGTGTGTGTATGTGTGTATGTATGTGTATGTGCAGATCATTTGGGAGAGGACTTTATCTGTGAGAATTTTGGGGATCTTGAGGTCTTTCAGCTCTGAACCATTTTAAAATAAATTTGCTGAGAACTTTAAGACTAAGGAGGTCATGGAAGTTGATCTCCAAACTCACACAGGTTCAGCTTATACTTCTGTATTTTCAGGGAATATTTTTGCCTTTAACATTCAGCACAAGCTTAAGACAGGCAGATGTTAATTGATCCTTTACATTCTACACAGCAGGCTAATTGATCATTTACTTTATGCTGAGGTCATAGCTATTCGAGTTCTAGTTTAATGTGAGAAACTATGCCATTGGGCTCTAGGCTTTCCCTTCTCCTGTGCCCTGAGGTGTCCTCCAAATGGAAGCTCAACATCACTGAATTTAGGAAAATACCCCCACAATGAAAGCTGACTTTAGCACACTTCTTCCTTGATTTCTTACTTCTACTTTACATTTGGCCTAATATTTCTTAGTTTCTTTACAAGTTCAGCAAAACATTGTTTCTGTTTTATACCAGCTATTTAAAATCTGATAATTAGTAGAATTTTAAGAGGGTATTTAGATCACTACTCTGCCAGGAAGAGAAAACTATTTCATGATATATAGAATTTTAAAGTTAGTGTAAGTGATAAACTATCCAAACCAAAGGATTCAATGTCTTGTGCCTCAAATTAAGCAGATTTAAGAGTAACTCTAAGAGTTCCTTGCCTGGAAATAAAAACAAACAAACAAAAAATAAGAACGGTTTCCTAAACACATCACACACAGTTATTAGGATTGTTTGATTCTCAAGGAACAAAATAAACTTCAAGATTGGCAAGCATACCGCAATGAATTAAATAGAAATGTTTCTTTTATCTTTTAAAGGAAAATTCTAGTTACTAAGTTACATTTGCTGGCATGTTAGAGGTAGTAAATTAGAACCTAGAAGTGATAGGGCTTCTGTGAGGGTATTTATCAAACCTCTGGTCGAATAGTTTAACAAGTGAGGTAGCTCTTGCTGGCAAGGAAATTAGAGATATAACTCAAGCTATTTGCACCTACAATCTACCAGTAGAAAAACAACTTTATGATAGATTGATGTACTTGAGGATCTTGAGATAATCAACATTTTTCTCTCTCCATATGCTTACCTGTACTAGCATATTTCTTTTAATTAATGAGAAAAGTTACTGGGTCCAAAGTCAACATTTGCCAGCAAAGGAATTTTCGTAATCAGTATGCCAAATAAAGCATCATCTGGTTTTATCTTAGTTTTGTCATTTCGTTTTCATCAACGATTGACTCTTGATGAGCTCATACTGAATATCTACCAATTCGTATGGATCTGATTGCTGAGAATGCCTTCCTTTATATCTAACAATCTTGTATTATGATCGAGTAGCTACCGCTGTTTGGTGTGAGATGGGACCATTTTAGTTTGCCATCTCACCAGATGTCATCAGATCAAAGATGTGCAGAATTTTGGATATCATCAGACCAACTACCCTCAATTTTTAAATAAGTAAAAAAACAAACAAAAAAAAAGACCAAGTCCTAGTGATTCGTGAAACTTTTCCCAAAGTCACTCAATTGTTATGTTTATGTGAAAAAAACCTATCCAAATCTTTGATATATAACTGATTGACTAAATCATACTCGTTATTGGAAACCTGGCACTTATGAAGACGGTGTGCTGGGAACTGAGAATAAAAGGTGATTAAGGCATGGGAACTGCTCTGAAGGAATTCACAGAGTTGGATGAGTATAACTATAAGGAAATAGTTATGCCTTCTGGTCAAAATAATTTCTAGTTATAGCTTTTAATGCATCTTTTCCATATCTATCACTGCAAAGATGAAAAAGAAAAACTCAAGAAAACAGAACAAAACAAAAACTGAAAAGACCTTGTGCCAGAATTTTGAAGAATTGTAGACAATTATAAGGCAGATAGGGTACGTATATGAAAAAGTAGTCTTCAGCATCATTATTCTAAACTTTGATAGTGTTTATTCCGAATGGTACAAAGATGCTTTCTGTGTTCCTTTTTAACAACATATACCAACCATCTAGAGAAGTGGACACTGACTCACAGATGTGTTTCCATGAGGTTGACAGATGTTTCTAAATACTTTGCTCTTGTCCCCCAGTACCCTGGTAAAGAAACAAAGAATGCAAATGCCAAAAATTTTCTCTGGCAAGAAATTTTTATGCACACACATGGTTTTGCATCTTTATATAGGTGTGTGAGCTGGCAGTGCAGCAGGGAATTCTATGAAAAGTATAGCTCTCTTCTAGAAAGAATTACAAGGAAGTATGATGACAGGAAGCCCAGCAGTGCATTCTAGGAATTCCTTTTCACATACTGTGTGGGTGGATTGTATAATGCAATTTAAAAGTACAAAGAGAATAATAACTAGTTATTTACATTTAAAAATTTTATTTTATTTATTTATTTAAAAAAAATTTTTTTTTAACATTTTTATTTATTTTGGAGAGACATAGAGAGACAGAGCACAAGCGGGAGAGGGTCAGAGAGCAAGAGGGAGACACAGAATCCAAAACAGGCTTCAGGCTCTGAGCTGTCAGCACAGAGCCTGACGCGGGGCTCAAACCCACGAACCATGAGATCGTGACCTGAGCTGAAGTCAGACGCTTAACCAACTGAGCCACCCAGGCGCCCCAAAAAACTTTATTTTTTAAATGTGTATTTTCATACTACTTTAATAATCTACATCACATAGTGGTGTAAGAGTACATGGACGTGTTTTATAAATGAATACATGTACTTACGGGTTCATACTGGATATAAGTAGAGAAGCAGAAAATCATGCAATGAGGGAGGGGGAAAAAGCAGCAAAAAAATATGGCTGACTATAGAGATGAGTTATATTGGTAATTCTGCGGCGCTTATAAGGATTAAAGGGAGCTCTGAGAACTTAGGCAAACTTGCGGCCTCTCACAAAGGCTGTTGTTTTGTTTTGTTTGTTTTGCTATAAAACAGCTTTATTGAGATATGATTCACATGACTTACAGTTTACCCATTTAAAGTATATAATTCGGTGGCTTTAGTATATTCACAGAGCTGGGCAACCATCATCACAATCAACTTTAGAATATTTTTGTCACCTAAGGTGAAGGAAAACCAAGAAAGAAGCCTGCAGCCTTTAGCAGGCACTTCCCATTTCCCTTCAACCTCAACAGCACAAACAATAGTCTACTTTCTTTCTGTATTTTCCCATCCCCGACATTTCATATAAATGGAATCATAGAATATGTTGCCCTTTTCTGGCTTCTTTTACTTAGCATAATGATTTCAAGCTTCCTCAGTGTTATAACATGTATCAGTATTTTCTTTCTTTCTTTCTTTCTTTCTTTCTTTCTTTCTTTCTTTCTTTCTTTCTTTCTTTCTT